TGTTTCCTTATTATCCTTTTAGAAGTATTTTTTAAATCCGCACCTGAGACATTTTTTCATTGCTACTAAAGGGAGAGACAGGAAGAGAGGAAGGGAGACAGAAAAACATCAGTGTGAGAGAGAAGCATGGATTGGTTGCCTCCTATGCATGCCCGAACTGGGGATCAGTGTCTGGACCTAGGATTGTACACGTCCAGACTAGGGGTCGCACATGTGTATGCCCAGGCAGGGGATCAAACCCACAACCTAGGCATATGGCCTGACTGGAATCAAACCCACAAACTTTTGATTAACGGGTGATGCTCAACCAACTGAGGTACCTGACCAGGGCTTAAAGTGTTCTAATGAGAGATGGCACCTCTCTTTTTTCCTGATCAGTCTGGCTGGAAATTTTATCAATCATATTGATTTTCTTAAAGAACTGGCTTTTGGTATCATTGATTTTTTTCTGTTGTTTTTCTCTTTTCCATTTCATTGATTATATCTTGGATCTATATTTTATCTTTTGCTTACTTTAGGTATCACTTTTTTCTAATTTATTAAGTAGAAACTGAAGTCCTCAATTTAAGATATTTTTTCTTCTATAGGCATTTAGTGCTGTGGGTTTTCCTTAAGCACTTTTTCCATTGCATACTATCCATTTTGACATGTTGTGTTTTCCTTCCCTTTTTATTTCTTCTTTGACTTATGGGTTATTTAGAAGTATGTTTTTTAGTTTTTTTAAATGAATAATATTTTTTATGACTGCAGTCTGCATGCTGTGGATGTTATGTTCAAATCTGCTGGTACTTTTTGGAACTGATAAATTAGAAGAACAGTATGGCTTCCCAGCAAACAGTGCATTTTATATTAATTTAAAATGTTTTCTCAAATTTATTGGAAATTCCTATGTCTTTCTGTCATTGGTTTCTAATGGAATCCCACTCACTACAGAATATAACTTTGAATAATTTGAATCTTTTTAAATGTATCAGTCACTGGCTTATGAACAAGAATATTGTATATATTGAGAAGTTTGTTGTATTTACTTAAAAAATTTGTATTCTGCTGTTGTTGGGTAGGATTTTCTATAAATATCAATTATGTCAATTTGGTTGATATATTGTTCAAATCTTCTATGCCATTAATGATTATTTATCTAATTGTTCTGCCTGTTCTATCAATTATTGTGAGTAGGGCATTGGAATTTCTGACTATAATTGTGGATTTCTCTATTTCTTCTTGAAGTCTAGCAGTTTTTGCTTCAAGTATTTTAAAGCACTGTTAGTAAGTAACTGTTTAGGATTATTATGTACCTCTTGATGAATGACTCCTTTGTCATAATGAAATGATCCATTTTATTCCTGATGATATCATTTACTGTAAAGTCTACTTTGGTTGTTAACAATATAATAACCATCTAAATCTTCTTTTGATTAGTATTAACACGGTATCTTCCCCCACTCCATTTTTTAAACTTTTGACAAATTGTATCCTTATATTTAAAATGTGTGTAAGTAGTGTGACAGCGTGCGTGCGTGTGTGTGTGTGTGTGTGTGTGTGTGTGTGTGTGTGTTAGGCAGCAAACAGTTGGATCCTCCTTACTTTGTCTATTTTGACTATCTCTGCCTTTTAAATGGGGTGTTTAGACCATTAAAAATTTTGAATATGATTATTAACATATTGGGTTTAATTTTAGAACCTTGTTATTTTAATTTCTATTTGTCCTATTAAGTCTTTGTTATTTTTTTTCTCTTTTTGGTTTGATGAGGATTTCTTTTTTTTCTTTTTACTGATCTTCCTTTTGGATTGATTGAGGGTTTTCATGATTCATTTTATTTCCTGTGTTGGCTTATACTGGTAACTCTTTTTGTTTTTTTTAAAATAACTGCTCTTATATTGGGAACCATCCCATCTGGTTTCAGGGACGGTAGCCTCACTGACAGGTGAGAGGACCTCAAGGCTGGAGCTGAGCAAGGAGGCCTTGGGAAAATAGGCCATGTGGGAAACAAAATCTGTCCCCCTTTTGGGGTTGCAGCCCCTGCCTCCCTCACATCATCCTGCTTGGCCATCCCAGCGGCTGGCTTGTTAGTTAATGATGGGTAAGATCCCTCTATGGCAAGGGCAACCTAAAACAGACACAGTCACATAGGGCCCATCAGGGAAGGACTTAGGGGACATGGAGAAGGGGCAAAAGACCCTCACCTCTCAGCTTTGTCATGGCCAGAGCCCTCATTTTATCTGAAAGAAGTCTCTTTATCTCTTGGCTGCTCTGTTCTACCTGCCTGACTGGGTCAATGAAACAGTACTAAAGGCAGGTACAGCCCTAAACTGGATCAGGAGGTTCTGGGACAATTAGGCCTGGAAAAGGAATGCATTAAATCCTATGAAACTTACTTTGCTAAGAATGCCCTTGAGTTAATGAGTGCTGATGTTTGGAGTCGGAGCATAGGAAGAGATCAGTTTCCCAGGTTTCAGGGACAAATGGACACCATCCTGTCTACCAGACCCTGACCTGAGGCTAATCTCCGTGTTCCTTCAATTGTTATCAAGATCTCCATCTGTTTTCTGTAAACATAGCCTTTAGGCATTGAATGATAAGCTTTGGATGCATATTGTATACCCCTGCACATATAATTCTCAATAAAAGCCACTTCAAGAGAAGGACTTGGGGCATTCTCCACTAGAGGAAATCACCACCCACTTTTCCTGGCACCGCATTTTTCTGGCAGACCGAGAGAGTCTGGAACGACTTATTTCCTCATCCGTGGCAACAGGGGGACTCTGTGGGATGGGATACCCCCCTCACTCTGAGGTCTCTAGTATCCATATTTAACTTACCACTGTTTACCTTTATATGATACTGTACCATTTCACATGTAGTATAAAAATCTTAAGACACTATACATCTCTTTTAGAACTTGAACCTATTGTTTCAATGCATTTTGCTACTTTGTATGTTATAAATATCATAATACACTATTATTTTTGCTTTAAACATGCAGTTATTTTAAAAGAAATCTAAATATTAAGAAAATTATTTTATAATTATACATGTAGTAAGCAATTCTTGTGTTTTTATTCCTCTATTTAGATTCATTTTTCATCTGATACTGTTTTCTTTATTTCTGAAGGACTTCTTATATTTTTCAGATAGTGCAGGTATACTGGTGATAAATTTTTACAGCTTTTATAAATAAATACAAAAAAGTTTATTTTGCCTCTATTTTTGAAAAGTACTTTCACTGAATATAGAATTCTAGGTTGATTATATTTTTTCCTTCAGTACTTACCTTTATTCCACTTTCTTCAGGCATGTATTGTTTCTGGCAAGAAGGCTGCATCATTGTTTTCTTTGTTTGGTAGAGTTTTTTTCATAGTTCTTTTGCTTGGGGTTCATTGTGATTTTGGGGTCTGTGAATTCCTCATCTTCATAAAAATCTTGAAAAATTTCAACCTGTAGGTCTTTAAATATTTTTTTCTGATTCATTCACCTTTCCTTTTTTTCAGGAATTCCTGTTACATGTATTGAGGATGTTCTGCAGCTAACTAATGCCCTGTTAATTTTGTTATGTTATTTTTCTCACTGTGTTTAATGTTGAAGTTTCTAATGCTATGTCTTAAAGTCCACTAATTTTTTCTTCTGTCAAATCTGCCATTAATCATATCCCATGTTATTTTTATAAGTCAACATTGTAGTTTTCATCTCTGGAAATTTAAGTTTTTTAAAAAAGCTCCCATGTCTCTTCTCAACATGTATGACCTAGTATATTGATGAAGTGGAATGTAATAGTAATAACTATTTTAATATTTTTATTTAGTATAACTTTTGTTTTTTTTTTTTCTGTGTCAGTATTGATTATTTTCTCCTCATTATTGGTTATATTAAATCTTTGCATGCCTAGTCACTTTTGATTAGATGCTAGACATTGTTATTTTTACTATGTGAGGTGCTGGATACTTTTGTATTACTAAAAATGTTCTTGAGTTTGTTCTGTCACAGGTTTGTTACTTGAAAATAGTTGATCTTTTCAGGTCTTGCTTTTAAATTTAATTAGTCATGCTCAGAAAAAAGCTTTATTCTAGGCCTAATTTGCCCCATCTACTAAATCAAAACCCTCTGGGTATTCTACCTGATGCCCCATGGTTGATGAGGTTTTTCATTTTAGTTATTAACACAAATATTTCTAGAATTGTGTGTGCTCCAAGAATAATATATTCTAATCCTTATGACAATCCTCACTCTGGCTTGGGTAGTTTTTCTTATATCCTAACACTAATCAATACTCAGCTGAAAACTTGAGGGAGACTCTATGTTGATCTCCAAAGCATTTACTTCCTCCTTCTCAATCTCCCTCTTCCTCTCTATCTGTCTCTCTCTCTCTCTCTCTCTCTCTCTCTCTCTCTTTCTCTCTCTATGCAGGGCTAATCTCTTTGGCTCTCTGCCCTGCAAACTTTTGATTTACCTGTATTTCCAGCTCCATTTGCTCAACTCGGAGAACACTGGACTTTTCCTATATTTCCTCCTTACAATACCATGGCCTGGAATCTCTCTATACAATAATTTGGGAATATTACAGGGCTCCGCTTCTTTGATTCACACCTCTCTGATACTCCTGCCTTTTGTTTCCTGATGTTCAAAGTCTTGAACATTGTTGTTTCATATATGTTGTCCATTTTTCAGTTGTTCAGGTAGGAGGGTAAATCCAGTCTCTGATATTCCATCTTGTACTGAAGTAGCTCTCTCACCTGATACACTTTCACCAGTGTTTAGATCATTAAGAGGGGATAGGAAGTTAAATAACTTGCTCAAGGGCACTCAGGTAGTAAATAACACACTGGATTTGAATATTAACCTTTCAGACTTCCAAGATAATGCTGTTAATGATAAGTCTGCTAAAACTCTCATATTTAATATGAATTGATATACTGAATAGTTGATGTGTTTATACGTAGATATTATGTTAAGAAATAGTGTCAAGTTTCATATAGAATTTGATTTTTTTCCCTTCCTTTTAAAGGTAAATGTGAGAAACGTGAAGAACAAATAATTTTAGCTTCTTCCGCATATGAAATAGATGTTCGTTCTTGTCCTCTTAACCCAAATGAAAACAAAGGCACTATAAGTTGGTATAAAAATGACAGCAAGACATCTATATCTACAGAAAGAGACTCCAGGGTTCATCAGTACAAAGATAAACTTTGGTTTGTTCCAGCTGAAGTAGAGGATTCAGGACATTACTATTGTGCAGTAAGGTAAGAAAGTACTTAATGTGTTAAAAATATGTGTTCTGTGTACCTATAATAAAGACAGAAAAATCCTTTAATAGCGCTTAATTGACCTATTTTGATTTATTTCAGAAATTCAACTTACTGCCTCAAGATTAAAATAACTGCAAAGTTTGTACAACATGAACCTAACTTGTGTTACAGTGCACAAGCTATATTTACACAGAAACTACCTATTGCAGGAGATGGACAACTTGTGTGTCCTTATTTGGATTATTTTAAAGGTGAAAACAATGAATTACCCAAAATACAGTGGTATAAGGTAATACTATATTAAATATGGCATTTTACTTTCTAAGCAAATAAAACAGCTTTCTGTCAAAGATAATATATTGAATCTGCACAGTACTTTTTCATTTGGCACATTGTTTGCTTTTTAGTGGTAAAATTTAATAGGAACTTTTTTTTTGAAATTGTAAGACTACATATATTTACTTTGCAGCTTAACTAAAATCTGTTATTTTTATTTAATTAGATACAGTTGAGAAGAGTATAGTAAGGATACAAGAAGTTTAAAGATAAGACTGAGTATAAATTTAGAGTTTTTTAGGAGATAACTATTTATTACAAAATGTATTATTTTGTATTTTATTAAAAATATCTTGGTATTTAAATAACAGTGGTTTCTGTAACTGTCTTAAAAGTGATTGGCTAGCACTGTATACAGAACCTATTATATTTGGGAGCCTTTGATCTACCTAGTTTGTTGAAGCTTACTTGGAGAATCATCCTGTATAGGGTTAGAAACACAAAACAAATAACATCAGTAAAGAAAGGAAGTACAGCATTACAGAGGAAGTATGGTGTGAGCATTCTTTCCCCAAATGTGTTTTTTAAATTGCCAAATAAATTTGTTTTCAAAATGCAAGGCTTATAGGCCTAAACATTTAATATCCTAGGCTTATTATGACTTTTGCCATGAAAATTACAATATTAAAACTTATATGCAAGGAATGTTTCTTTGCATATATATGTATATATGTGTGTATACATAAATACATATAAAATATAATATACATATTATATATCTATAAAACATTTGCTGATATAAAAAAATGGATTTTTTTCCTGGCTGACTGGAGTAAGTTATTAATTGGCTTTCAATACTTCCATCCTGTCCCTCTCTCTATCTAGGATTGCAAACCTCTACTTCTTGACAATATAAATTTTATTGGAGAATCAAGTAAGCTCATTATCATGAATGTGACTGAAGCGAATAAAGGGAACTATACTTGTCATGCTTCCTATACATACTTGGGAAAGCAATATCGCATCACCCGGGTTATAGAACTTTTAACTCTAGGTGAGTCTAGGTGGTTCAATACTAGAAGTTTACATCTGGGAAATCCCAGAGACCACAATTCTAATATTACCTTTGTTTTCCATGGGGGAACTAAATCCCTGAGAATCTTGATGACTTGCCAAAGGTCACATGGTTTTAATTTTTGTTGTTAAATACTATGTAAATGGCTTTCATTCCTGCTTCAGATGCAGAGCTAATTAAACAGACAATATGAGCTACATTTTGCAACTGAACTGGGGGGCTCTTTTTTGGGGATGGCTAAAGATGGTTCTTCCTGAGAGCTCTGGGGCTGATTCCAGTTGGTGTATGAGGACAGTTCTGGGCTCCTTCCCGTGGGGAATCTGAATGTCTAGCAATGAGGATCATTTGCATGATGATGTGAATGCTAATGGGCTTTGGAAGAAGTTATACTCCCATAATCTCCCTCTTGTTAGTTTCCTGTTAGCCCAATTACTTTACTTCTCTAAGCCTGTTTCCTTCTCTATATTAAGATGATACAACCTTCCCAGGTTGTGGGGAAGATTAGAGATCAATTATGTGGTCATGTATCTGATGCAGAACAGATGAGCAATAAATAGGTTTATGATGATGATTCTTCTCAATTTCCTGAGGCTTTCAATTCTCTATTAACCATGTTTCATATTAAAAACTATTTTATAACAAAATGCACTCTGACAAGTTATCTGGGGATGGAAGAATGCTTGATTTTTCTGTAAATATCAGAGCTTTAAGCTTTCTGTAATACACAGAGAGCTACTCTAACCAGGAATTTGAAAGTTAAAAGGGTTTTTATTAATAATTATGCTGGGACAACAGGCATAAATAGGGAACATCTCAGGTCACCCAAAACATGATCACCCTACATATAGCTGAGCTATCTCAATTCTATAGCAATTTATTTTTTCAAAGTTTATATTATTAAATCAAAATTAAGTCCTACAAGCATTAGTGAATTGTAATTTTCAATAGTCACAACCACCTTGAGTTCTTAGCAGCCTCTCTCCGGTCATTGTCTACCTCCGGTTTATTTTTCTTGAGATATATCTGTCTACCTATGTATCTAAGTATCTGTCTATCAATAACCTATCTATCTGTCTATCTACTAGACCAGCAGACATATTCTTCATCTCCTTTTCTGATCCCTTATATAGAAATAACATACTTAATCATGGATGATGTCATTTTTTATTTTTTTATAAAGGCAGATTCAAAATTATTTATTGAGCATCTACTCTGTGCAAGGTACTGTTCTAGGTATATATTAACAAACAAAAGAGACAATATCTGGCCTTGATGGAGCTTACTTTTACTTTTTTTAAGAATACTTTACATTCAGGTTCATAGTTTTTAAGGACTGACCCCAGGTTACCCCTTGAAGCCAATCTTCTTATAAATAAAATCCAGATTACTATCTGGAGCTACTTAATATTTTTATGCCTGTTTTAATAAATTATGCCAAATTTCTTGACATTCTATTCTTGGGTCATTATTAAAGGTACAGAATGTAAGCACATCTAGCATTAGGTGGCCTTTCTGGGGAATAGTACTCCATCAAGGGAAGTATCTTTCCGTGACTGCTTGTCTTCCTGGATTCACTTTAAGAGAAGCACTTGTCTGGAGCCCCAGGCTCTGGTGTCATGTGTGGTTTTTTGTAGCACCAAACTATGGGTTTAGAAGGGTGCAGGTGTCTTAGTGGGTATTCATGGTTTTGCTATAGCCTTCATGTTAGCCTCTTTCCTTCACTTCTTGCCTTCTGTCTCCTGCCATAAATGCTTCAGACACTTATGGGACTATCTGGCAGGATGCTATATAGTGTGTTTTAGTATATTTAGCCAAGTGTTGTTATCACTTGAGATTCTTATGTATACGAGACTGACAAGACCTGTGGATGTTTTTCTTTCAGAGGAAAATAGGCCCATGAGGCCTGTGATTGTGAGTCCAGTTAATGAGACGATGGAAGTGGTCTTGGGTAAGTGCCCTTAAATTAGGGTGTGCTGAGATCATTATGCTAAGCAAAATAAGCCAGGGGGCGAAAGACAAATACCATATGATCTCACCTATAAGCGGAACCTAACCAACAATACAAAGATGCAAGGAAAATAAGATCAGCAACAGTGAAAGGAAAAGAAATCAACAGAGACAAGAGGGAAGGAGGGAGGGGGAGTGGGGAAAAGGAAGGGAAGGGGAAAGTCAAGGAACATATAGCAAGGACTCATGGACAAAACCAAAGGGGAAGAGCTGAGGGAGGGAAGGCGGGAGGGGGCAAGGGAAAGTGGTGGGGGGGAGGCAGAGACAAATGTATTTGAAAACATAAATTAAAATAAAATTTAAAAAAAAATAAAAAATAACTAGAAATTATCTTCATCAAAAAAAAGAATTAGGGTATGCTGAAATAATTATTTTGCATTCAAGATTAAGATAAACTATACCTTTACTACACATAATAGTAAGGTTGTTTACTAGATATATCTAAAATTAGAAAGAAGGTAGCATAGATTGTGTGTTAAATGTTTCTTTGTATTTCTTTCCTCTTATGGCACAAATCTAATCAAGTCTGATTTGCCCATCCTTGCCTTTCTGTGGAAATCTATTACCCATGAAAACACCAGCAAAAGGCCAATTTCAACAGCCCTAGGAATGAGAAATGTAATTTATTTGTCACACAGTGAATTTCTTATGCCCAGAGCGTTAAGCTTTTAGACAGAAGAGTAAGACTACAAGTCAAAAAGATAGTCATTCTAGAAAAATACTTTTTTACTTTTTCAAGTTAGTGAACATTTTTTATTTCAAGAATAAAGAAATCTTAGAAGCATTAGGCCTACACTGTACAATGCAATAGCCACTAGCCACATGTGGTTATGTATATGTATATTTAAATTAAGTAACTTAATTTAGTTCAGTTGAAAATTAGTGTCTCAGTCAAGAGCTTAATACAGATGACCAGTGACTACAGTATTAACACAAATATAGAACACTTTCATCATCACTGAAAGTTCTATTAGAAACCACTGGTCTAAACATAAAAACAGAGAGATACAAGTTATCTGTGAAGTAAGTGAAAGCTACATACCTCCTTCCAGAGACAAACTGGATTTACAGCTAAACCATAGAGAAGTCAACCTGAATGAATAACTGAGGGACAGATGAACAGGAGTATTATATCCAAGGATTTATAGAAGAAGTTACACAGAGACCAGTTAGAAGGTCAGAGACATGGTGGCCCCTGCAACCAGGTGTGGCAGCTGAGAAGCTGGAGGGATATCTTGGCTGTAAAAGTACCCCCTGAGGTTGCATGGGGTCTTAGCCCCACACCAGGACCCCCAGCCCAGAGCTCCAGGGCTGGGAGGAGAAGCCTGAGTGGCATCTGGCAGTGAAAAATCAGTGGGGACTCTGTCTGTTGAGAAGAGGAGAGAGTCTGTTAGAATCCAGGTGCTCTCCTAAAGGGCCACCACACAGAAGCTCACTCTTGGGCACTCATCTGGACCTCTAGTAGAAGGAAGGAGACTTATAGCATACAGGAGTGATAAAGAAAAGATCTGGGTGGCATGGCTCTGGATAGAGATCTGGAAGGTCGGCCACTGAGGTCCCTGTTCTGAGTCCCTATTCCACACTACCCTGAGGTGCCATCTCCCAGGATCAGGCACTCCTGTTCTTACAGAGCCAGCTGGGTGAATGCACTAACCCTCCAAATACTGGTGACACCGCCCTGCTGGGCAGAAAGGACTGTTGCCTACATCCAACAGGGACCTGAAGTGTGCTCTTTTTCTGGAGAAACTACAGACTCTCAGATGCTCATTGAACTGTGTGGCTTTGGAATAGGAACCAGTCTTTTCCCCTTCCTGAAGGTTTGGCAGGCGCCACCCCCAACAGAAGACTCCTTTGTCAGGGTCTCTGGAGGCCTGGCTATGGAGCTGAGGGGAAGCATGCAGTTCACCTGCCTCCCCCAGCCCAACTGGTGCCACTCCCAACAGAAGGCTCTCTTGATCTGTTTTCCCAAGTCATGGCGGCCCCGTTTTGCCATGCTTGCTCCTGCAGTGGGGATAGCTGGCTGTGCCCAACTTAAACCTGTGGTATGCCCCTCTTGAGGGAGCTAGAGTTGGAGACTCTAGCAGAGACTGTGTGTTATGGCTCTGGAGTAGGAGCCACATTCTCTCCATTGAGTGACTATGGTGCCCCAAAGTAGGGGACCCACTAGCCCTGTCATCCCAACCCATTCACCCTGCCCTACCGAGCTTTAGCTCTGAGAAAGGGTCAGAGGAGCATAGCCAGCTTAGGCCTACTCTATAGCCTTTCTTCATAAGACTCCGGAGGAAGTCCAAACTACCTTGGGGTCAGGGGGTAGAGAAGCCACCAGAAAGACATTGACCTTAGGGAGCCTTGGACTTTTTATTAATCTGCCCCCAGGTCAGAGTTTCAGGAAGCCAACCCTCCCACATACATCCAGGCCCCATATATGCACCCACAAACAGTGAATAGCATGGTTGCTCCAGACAGGTGGCCTAAGGCTAGTTACATACGAGGTCTGACGTTGATGTGCACCAGAGCTGTGGCCAAGAGGGCCCAAAACCAACACAACCAGCTGTGGTCTTTAAAACGCAGCAGAGCTCCATCCAGCTATCCACACAAATGGAACAACCAGAGGAGGACTTCGGCAGATACCAGATCCTGCCGGCAACAACCCTGCCTCAGGGCAGCCCCTGAACTGCTGCTCATACATGGTGAATAATGTCTGTCTTTAGAGTCACCTGGCATGAGGGTTAACTGTACCCATGAATGGGCCAACAACATTGAAGACTCAGCTACAAAAGGAGGGAGCACATAAGCCACAAAGAATCATTTCCAGAGCACCTAACTTAGGTGCTGTAGAAGACTGCACCACTGCAACCCACAAGGCACCTATGTCAGAAAGTCCTCATTACAAGCTGGAGAGTCAGCAGGTCTGCCTAATATACAGAGGCAAACATAAAGTGCAGATGAATGGTGAAAAAAGAAATGTGCCCCAAATTAAAGAACAAGAGAAATCCATGCCTCCCAAAAAAAATAAATGAAATGGAGGCAACAAAATATCTGATGCAGAGTTTAAAACAATGTTTATAAGTGTGGTCAAGGACATTGGGGGAAGAATGGATGACCTCAGTGAGAACTTGAATAAAAAGGTAGTTACCATTAAAAAGAACATAGAAACCACATAAAAAGAACCAGACAGAAATGAAGGATACAATATCTGAAAGGGAGAATACACTAGAAGGAATCAGCAGCAGGTTAGATAAAGCAGAGGATTGAATCAGTGATTTATAGGACAAGGTAACCAGAGCATCTACAAGACAAGAGAATTTTAAAAAATGAGGAAAGTCTAAGGAACCTCTGGGACAATATCAAGCATAACAACTTCGTATCATAGGTGTACCCCAAGGAGAAGAGAGTGAAAAAGGGATAGAGAACCTGTTTTAAAAAGTAATGACTGGCAACTTCCCTACCCTAATTAATGAAAAACTCACCCAAGTTCAGGAAGCACAGAGAGCCCCAACCAAGATAAACTCAATGAGGCACACACCGAGGCGCATTGTAATTAAAATGGCAAAGCTTAAAGGCAAAGAATCTTAAAAGCAGCAAGGGAGAGGCAGTTAGTTACCTGCATGGGAGTTCTCATAAGACTTTAAGCTGATTGCTCAGCAGAAACACTTCAGGCCAGAAGGAATTGGCATGAAATAGTCGAAGTGATGAGAAGCAAGGACCTACAACTAAGGCTGCTTTACCCAGCAAGGCTATCATTTAAAATTGAAGGCTAAATGAAGAGCTTCCCAAACCAAAGAAAAGAAAGGGTTAAAGAAGTTCATTACCCCCCAAACCAATATTGCAAAAAATGTTAAAGAGACTGCTTTAAGAAGAAGAAGAAATAGAGAGGAACATATATACATAGAATAAAGTGGCAATAAATAAGTACTTATCAATAACAACCTTAACCATGCATGCAGTGATTGTGGCTGATCTGAAGGATACAAACGCTTTTCTTAAATACTGTTACATATATCAGGTGCATAAGTTCAAGGTCATGACTAGCTGTGTGTTTGTACATGACTAATGTTAAGCCATACCTTGAAGCCATCAGTTTGGTTATAACACGAGTGCCATGAGGGTGTGTGATACTCAATAATAAATTGGGTTTGAGAGAGTGTGAACTCCAAAGTCAGTGTTAGTGTAGCTGTCTTTATTCACAAACTTTGAGGTCAGTGTTGTGTTTTTGGTTTTTTTTTAACTTACCACTGAAAATGGCTAGAAAAATATATCGATTCAATAGTCCAAGAGATGTTGAAGAACTTCAGCAAATGCTATTTGAGTCCAGTGATGAGACTGATAGAGATAAATGTGAAAATGAAAGTGGTTTAGAAGATGAAGATTATGTGGAAATTTTTTCAGAAGATTTGGATACAGAACAAGATATTTCTAGTGAAGAAAGTGAAGATGAATTAGATGTGATTGAAGAGTATTTTTTTTTGAAAGAATAAAGAAACAAAAAGGAGGAAAAATCCACTTAAGAAGGCAAATTAGAAAAGAGCTGCAGAATATTTTAGGTCAGCTTCTGTTAGTTTGGCCAAATGCAGAAAAATGCCTCAACAGAACTTGAAACTTGGAACTGCTTTATCACAAATGATATATTAGATTTAATCTTATACAAATACAAATAAATACATCAAATATATACATCAATTCTATCTCAATCCTTATTTTTTGGCAATCTTGAAAAATAAGAACAAAGTTGGAGATATCATATTACCTGATACCAAACTATGCTACAAGGCCATTGTAGTCGAAACAGCCTGGTACTGGCATAAGAACAGGCATATAGATCAGCAAATAGAACAGAGAGCACACAAATAAACCCACACCTTTATGGTCAATTTGTACTTGAAAAAGGAGGCAAGAGAATAAAATGGAGTCAAGACAGTTACTTTAATGAATGGTGCTGGGAAAATTAGGTACATGCAAAAAACAAAAATAGACCACCAACATATGCCATACACAAAAATAAACTCAAAATGGATAAAAGACATTTATGCAAGTTGTAAAATCATAAAAATCCTGGAAGAAAACATACTTAGCAAAATCTCAGGCATCTGCCCTGGCCTGGCGGCTCAGTTGATTAGAGTGCTGTCCCATACACCAAAAGATTGTGGGTTCATTCTCCAGTCAAGGCACATACCTAGGTTGCAGGTTTGATCCCTATTCAAGCATGAGTGGAGGTAGCTGATACATGTTTCTCTCCCACATCTCTCCCCTCTGCCCTGTCTCTCTCACTATCCCTTCTCTCCCTCCTTTCCTCCCTCCCTAAAATCAATAAGCATATATTCAAGTGAGGATTTAAAAAAAACAAAAAAAAACCTCTCAAATGTTTTTGCCTATGTACCTCCTCAGGCAAAGGAAACAAAGGAAAAAAATAAATGAGACTACATTAAACTAAAAAGCTTTCACATAGCCAAAGAAATCATCAACAAAATGAAAAGAGAACTCACTGAAAGGGAGAACATATTTGTCAATGATATAGCTGATAATGGATTAATTTCCAAGATATATAAGTAACTCATACAACTCAACACCAGGAAGACAAACACCCAATTACAAAAAGGGCAAAGGACTTGAATAGATACTTCTCCAAAGAGGACATAGAGATGACCAATAGACATGAGAAAACCCTCAACATCACTAATCTGAGAGATACAAATTAAAACTGCCATGAGATACCACCTTACACCTATCAGAATGGCTATCATCAAATCAACAAACAACAAGTGCTGGTGAGGTTTGGAGAAAAGGGGACCCTTGTACATTGTTAGTGGGAATGTAGACTGGTGGAGCCACTCTGTAAACAATATGGAATTTCATCAAAAAATAAAAAAAATGAAACTACCTTTTGACCCAGCAGTCCCACTTCTGAGAAAACACATATAAAGAAACCCAAAACACTAATTTGAGAGAATATATGCACCCCTGTATTCATTGCAGTATTATTTACAATAGCCAAGATCTGGAGACAGGTCAAGTGTCCATTAGTGGATGAGTGGATAAAAATCTGTGTTAATTTACACAATGGAATACTAATGGACTGTAAAAAAGGGAAATCTCACCTTTTGTGACAGCATAGGTGGACCTGGAGATTATTATGCATTACTATGCTACATGAAATAACCCAGTCAGAGAAAGACAAATACCACCATATGATCTCACTTATGATCTAATGAAGGGATCTAATGAAGAAAATAAGATGATGAACAAAATAGAAACAGAGGCATGTATACATGGAGCAGATTGACAGCTCTCAGAGGGGAGGGGTTTTGGGGGGACTCGATGAAAGGTGAGGGATTAAGCAAAAGAAAAAATACGTAACACGGAGACACAGATTTAAGTGTGGTGATAGCCAGAGGGAAAGGAGGCAAGAGGTAGGTGGAGGTGGGAAAAGGGAGGAAATATTGGACAGAAAGAGACTTTGCTTGGGGTGATGGGCACATAATGCAGTGTGCAGATGATGTTTTATTGAATTTTACACTTGAAACCTATACTTCAATAAATTCAATTAAAAAAGAAAATAAGCATAAAAACAGAATTTTGTACCAGAGAATCAAAAATCAAAATCAAGTTAGCATACAGAATTATTTTCTATAATAGTAACTGCATGATGACAGAGATTAGAAGTGAGTTTGTGACCTATGGATTCTGTACTGAATTCTACATCCAGATTTTTATTTAAAATAGTACTTAAGGGTATATATAATATTTGCTATTTATGGTGGAAGATAAAAGAGGCATTCTTAGTTATAAACTAACAGGTGAAAACTGAAAATTGAATATAGGCCAATATAATCTAGAGCAGTATTTCCAACCTTTTTTTTTTGTATTATTGTTCCCCTTTAGATCTGAAAAAACATTTTTCCCTAGTCATCTTCTTCTTTAAGTTAATACCACAGATAGTGTTATTTATCTGTTGATGTACTATGACACTTTGAAGGGCTACAAACTTGCAACAGCTAAGATTGTCTTGCCCCCATAAAACTGTAAAACAATACAACAGTGAAAGTATTTTATGCTCCAAATAAAGTGTACGTGGATATTTTCATGATTTGGTGTGAGAGAGATATTTTAGGAAAAAAATAGCAAAAACAGATAAACAGTAATAAATTTGACCAAACAAGAAATAAAAATATCTGTACCAAGGACTTTTTATAAACAAAAATGAAATAAAAGCAACTAATGCTGAAGGATTTTTGGAATAGTTTTCATGTATAATAAAGAATTAGTACCCTTAATGAATAAAGAACACTTCCATATCAGTAAGTTTAATATGAGAATGTGATTAAATAATGGATAGTAGGGATAATAAGCAGTTCTTAAAGGCAAATGAACACTGAATGTATGAAAAACATGTCAGTTGACTATGAATTGAAGAAATGCAGGTGAAAATTTAAATGAAATTTTTTTCTTTTCTGAATTGGCAGTGGCTAATCTGGGAGTTGGGGAGGTAAATGGCAGTTGCACACACTGTTGGGCAGTGTGGAATTATAGTCTCATTTGGGAGGGGTTGGTCAGATTTTAAAATGTGCATCACCTTTTAACTGAATTTTACATCCAGATTTTTATTTAAAGTAGTACTTAAGGGTATGTATAATATTTGTGTATAAGAATGTTTATTGGAATAATAACCACAGTAATGAAAAATTAGAAACAAATTGTGTTTAACATTAGAAAAGTAATTAATCATATTGTGTCTGTATTGTGGAATACTAAGCAGCCCTGAAAGGCTAATGGTGTAAGCCAGCATTCCCAATGTGGTAACCATTACAAATAGTAGACAATATACCTCATTTTAAAAAGCGCATTTGGGCAGAGAAAAGAAATGAGATGCATAACATTACTAACAGTGGTCATCTCTGCATGGTCGTTTTAAGGGTGATTTTTCTTTTTCTTTGTGCTTTCCTATAATTTTAAATTTTTATTCAGTAGTCATTTGTTAATACAGATAGGTAAAATCAGTTAATGCTATGATTAAAAATACATTGCCTTGCAGGATCCCAACTACAACTGATATGCAATGTCACTGGCCAGTCCAGTGACTTTGTCTATTGGAAGTGGAATGGATCAATGATTGATGATGATCCAGTGCTGGTGGAAGACTATAGACTGTAAGTATGCTGAAAGCCAACCTTGCAGTTGAGAAGTTCTGGTGCTAAATTACATGTTATACTTTATATAACCTTGTGGTTTAACCTAATAGCAAAAGTTAGTTAACAGTTGATTGATTTTTATCCCTTTGTTGCCCACACTGAGTTTTGCAAAGCTAAATAGGATTTTTGACATGTTGTACATTTAAGATAAGAATACACGTCATTGTGGTACAAATTCAGGACCATTTAGAAGGCTTTCTCTTAAATTAGTTAAATACGTTGCAACCGTCCAATGAAGCAATTTTCCTGAATAACCTTCATGTTATTCTATTTTTTAAGTAGTCTAAAACACTCATTAAATGGGATCAAAAATCATACACTCCACTTTTCAAGTCTCCAGTGGCTCCCTGTAAGTTCTGTAGGGATACGCTCCTGACTCCTTAGTATAACATTCTGACCCTCTGTCACCTGGCTACTCTACTCTTGTTCCATATATTCTTCTCTGCTCCATGGAGACCAAAATGTACATGTCTCTATTTTTCTTCTTGGAAGCTGGTGATTCTAATTCAATTTCTCTACTGCTGAGTCTTTTACTGACAGTGGCCCTAGGGCTATTACATCTCCCATCACTGTGGCTAACAGCCTGATTGTCACACCTGTGTTTAGGGCTCATGGTTACTTCTGCTGCAATTTATGCAACAAATTAGGAGATAAACCATGCACATGTGTCTTATTTGTTGTTAATGCAGTTTATTTAAACAAGTTTATTTTTTCTCTCTCTCTTTGGAACAGAGTGGAAAATCCTTCATCCAAAAAAAGGAATACAGTCATCACAATGCTTAATATTTCAGAAGTGAAAAGTAAATTCTATCTATATCCATTTACCTGTGTAGCCAGGAACACATATGGTATAAATGTAGCATATATTCAATTAATATACCCAGGTAAACAACAAAACTATTTGTTAGAAATGTAATTTTGTTTTAGCATGGTAAGAGTCTGTGATCTTGAGGTTTGTTATGCTATTTCCTCTACCCAAACTGCTCTTGGATTCCTGTTAACCTGGATAACTTCTTTCCTTTTTTTCTTTTCTTGGCTGAACTATTTCTTCTGTTAGGGAGCTTTTCTGTCCTGCTCTTTGCCAAAATGGAAGAGGTTAGGGCCTCTGTTATGTGCTTCCACAACACTGTATATCCCCATCACAGTATTTATCATGCTTAGTTTTCTTTACTTGACTATAAATTCTGTGATGGTGCAGGCCATTTATTTTACTACTTATTCTATTTCCAGAACTAGTAGCAACTTAAGTGTGATCATGGTAGGTATCTAATGAATATATTTAGGTGAATGATGGATGCAGAGGGGAAGTCTAAATATCTACTTTCTGGAGAGGATGTCAAAAGTTACTGATTTTCATCAGTTGTATAATCTTTAGACATGGTATTAAGAGTATTTGTGAAATATTTTAAGATTAGTTGTAGTTAAATTGAAATAGGGTATTTATGAGTGTATATATGAAAGACAATCTAAACAGACAAACTATTAGAACTGTAAGTGAATAGCAAGGTCTAGTCTACATATATATGTAATATTTCTACGTATGTTTGTAAGTACCAACAACAAACCAATACCAGTAGGAATTGAATTGAAATGATAACCTTTAAAGTAGCATAAAATAAGTTATCAAAGTCATAGGAATAAACCTAGCAAGGGCTGTTCAAGACCTCTGTAGTATAAACTAAGAAACAAAAAAAATTATTGAGATAAATTGGAAAAGACCTAAACAGATGGGGGAATATACATTGTTCATGTATTGAAACACTCAATATTAAAAAGATTTTAGTTGTCCCCAACTGAATTTATAGATTCAAAACCATTCCACTAAAAATCTCAGCATTATTTGTGCAAGTATGGGTGTGTGTGTGGGTGTGTTGTTATAGGCAGGCTTACTCTAAAAGTCACAGGGCAATATAAAGGGCCAAAAATACTTTCAGGGGTATCTAATCTTTTGGTGTTTCTGCACCATACTGGAAGAATATGAGTTGCCTTGGGCCACCCATTAAATACATTGCAACATGTAACCACAAAAAACATCTCATAATGTTTTAAGTAAAGTTACAATATTGTGTTGGATTACATTCACAGCCATCCTGGGCTGCATGTGGCCACAGGTTGGACACCCCTGATGGTCTTGAATAAAAACAGCAAGTCTGGAAGATTTATACTATAGGTATCATGATACTGTATGAAGCTACAGTTACGACGTCTATAAACATAAACTATCAATTTAGTCAATTGGCTGTTAGTCTGGAAAATGGTATATCTTGATTTCTACTTTATACCCATATCAATTGCAGATAGATCAAAGACCTAAATTGAAAAAATAAAATAAGAGAGCTTTTAGATTCTCTCTTCTTGATGCCTCTATGGCCCCTGACATTTAGAAGTCACTTTCTTCTTTCTTTATTCTTCTTTTTTACATCCCCCTTTTTACCTCCCCTTCACCTTACTCCTCTGCCCCTCCTGCTCTGTAATCAATCACTTAATGAATAATTAGCAAGTGAAGCCCAGAAAATGTGGAGTGTGAAACATTTTGTGTGGTATCCCTAGCTTCTTTTTTTCTTTCCATCAGCCTTTACCTTTTCCCACCTGACTCTTCTACCTCTAGGAACTTTAGTTGGCTTTTGAGTGACTTTGACTCATTTTACTATGGAATACTCTAACCTATGGTCTTTGTTATTTTTCTATAAGGTTGTATATTATACTCCTTAGGTAGAATTTTAATACAATACACCTTAGTTTTTTTGCATAGCATCCATTCTATGTGGCATTGTGCATTAATATCCATTATTAAGTGATAATGAATGGGTTAATACTATCTGGGATTTGGGACTCCAGGCCAGTCCCAAATGTGGTTTCTCTGGGATGATGATGTTTAATTTGCTGTGCTCAAATTTTAGTTCTTTTGGTTTTAATAATTTTTTTCCTCTTTTTTTTTGCTATAGTTTCCAATTTCCAGAAGCACATGATTGGTATATTTGTCTTGTTAACAGTAGTAATTACAAGCTCTGTTTTCATCTATAAAATCTTCAAGATTGACATAGTGCTTTGGTACAGGGATTGTTGGTATGATTTTCTCCCAAAAAAAGGTACAATTTTATATTCAGTGGAATGTTTTCTTGTTGAAGAGAGGGGCTAATTAAGAGATGTAGAAGATAACCAAGAGGGATTTACTTAAATTTTAAAATGAAATGTGGCATACATTAAAATAGTAGTTATTTTTATATTTAATTATAATTTCATAATTGAACAGACTGGAAAGCATTGTTTTCCAGGTTACTGCTTTAGTGTTTGTAACTGTGGGATAAAGGCATTTAGAGCATCTGTTTATAAGTCCATTTATTCAGAAACCATTGTTGAGGACCTTCTCTGTGCTGGGTACAACACAGATCACCCAAGATTTCCATCCAATCAAAGACAAGACTCAGTTTTCATGCATCAGAGAAACACTCTCCTCTTTAAACCTAGCCAAAAAAAAAAAAAAAAAAGTGAATACTACAATAATATATAAAAGGGAGATTGCTAGAATTCAGTGCTGTGACATTTGGGGAAGAAGATAAGAATTAGAAAATAGTTCCCATACTGAGAGGTAAAGAACTCTGCATTTGAAGTGACTATCAAATAATAGAAGAATAACGTGGCAGTAAAAAAAAATAAATAAATAGAAACTTGTAAGAATAGAGCACTTTAAAAAGGTTTGATACATTTGGTATTATGGTTTCATTCATACCATTATATGAAAAAAAATTCATTCTGAAATGCATGTTTGCAATATTGACTTTACCAAATCTCTTTCTTGTGGCCCTAAAATATAACATTTTCCCTTTAGTTTCAGATGGAAAAACCTATGATGCATACATACTATATCCAAAGACCCTTGAGGAAGGGTCCACCTCTAACTCAGATATTTTTGTATTTAAAGTCTTGCCTGAGGTCTTAGAAAAACAGTGTGGATATAAGCTATTCATTTATGGAAGGGATGACTACGTTGGGGAAGGTATGAACATAATGGGAAGAAGTAAAAATCTTGTTTTGAAACAAATGTAATTATTAAATTAATTGGGTTAATTAAGTTGGATTTCATCTTTCTAGAAGACTAGCATAGGCACACATATTTGATAATTTTAAGAACCTCTTCTATGGTGCATACTGATGGTTTTCACATTATTTAATGCAAAATATTTACTTATATTTTGTTGAAGTTAATTAAGTTGTATTTTATTTTGGAAAACTTAACAATTAGTTAGATCTGAAAATTGCTTTAAACCAATATACTAAAATAGAAGTAGTATAGATCAACTGGTTTAACAAGGTTTTTAGATTTCCACTGAAAGTGTTCTGAGTCCTAAGTGAAACATTCAGATCTAGTGGGTCAATTTTTTTTTTTTTTAGCTGGTCTCTAAAATGGAAACCTCCTTTAATCTGAAATAAGGCAAGAAAAAAAGAGTGTTAGAGACATGGGGGATGTGATGGGAGGAAACTTCTGGGGTTTTAGTTCTGGAGAGAATGATTATAAATAGAAATTTTACTTACTATGCTGTCCTTCATGTTTTCCAGACTTTGTTGATGTCACTAATGAAAACATAAAGAAAAGCAGAAGACTGATTATTATTTTGGTCCAAGAAACATTGGGATTCAGCTGGCTGGGGAGTTCATCTGAAGAGCAAATAGTGATGTACAATGCTCTCATTCAGGATGGAATTAAAGTTGTCCTGCTGGAGCTGGAGAAAATCCAGGACTATGAGAAAATGCCAGAATCCATTAAATTCATTAAGCGGAAGCATGGGGCCATACGCTGGTCAGGGAACTTCACAGAGGAAAGGTCACAGTCTGCGAAGACAAGGTTCTGGAAGAATGTCAGGTATCACATGCCTGCTCAGCACCAGGCCCCTTCATCCAAGCCCCCATTGCTATTCTCAGCCACCAGGCCAGATGCCAAGGAGAAACTGCAAAGGGATGTGCACATGTCTCTTGGATAGCAGGAAGGACCTTGGCCAAGAGTTCCTCGGATGACTCCTGTTTTAGGGCATTGCACATTGGGCCGTTTACAATCCAAGGGTGGGACCCTGGTCCAGTCTGGGGTTTACAGGGTCCCTTGAGTAGCCAGTGAAGTCCCAAAATGATTGATACTTCTCCGAAAGTATAGAAGTATTCTTGGAGAACTTTCCACTTGCCTTGCCTTTTTCATATGCATCTACAGCCAGCAATCAGTTTCTAAAGACTGAATCTCATTTATAGACCTTTAAAATTGTCATTTCAATGAACAAGGGGATTCTCTCCAGGATTCTAAGATTTTGAAATAACCTTAGCTTTCTGCTGGAGAATTTCAAAAACAAGAATAGCAGAGAATTGATCCCCTTTAATACATTTCCCCCTGGAATGATCACTCTGTTCAACCTTATTTCTCTGACTTTCACTTGACTCATTACTTCTTTGAAAGGACAGCTGTCAAGTCACTTCCTCTTCCCACTGTGTCATACACATGGCCCACAGATTAACCATCCTGTCTGAAACACTGCTCCCATCATCTCACTCTTGCTAAAGACAATTCCATCTCCAAGTGGCTCCCCTGGTTCAGGAGCTAAAGCCTAAGTTCTCCCATTAATGTTTCACTGATGCACCCAAACCTGCAGCCTGTCCATGCGGCCATCTCCTCTCTGACCTGCTGTGTGAATTCCCAGGTCAGCCCATGTGCCTTTGAACCTGCCCCCAGTGCTCCTCTACCTCTGCCTCCTTCCTGTCTTCTCTGAGCAGAATGCCTTCTGGAATTTCCTCTATCTGACTGGAATTAAAAACTTACTCCAACTCTGTTTTCCCAAAAGACTCCTCTTTCAGTCAATCTGATGGTACTTACAGTTGGCTGTCACTGTGTGAGAAGTCATTCTATTTCCTGCTGAAGCCCTGCTCCCTGAGGTCTTGCTGCCCACAGTGCGTTCACAAATAATTTGCACACAGGACATAGATTTGTATAGTACTTTGTACAAAAATATCCAAAGATTGCCTTATTTCATATTTGCAATCATCTCGATTTTATAGAGAGTAAGTGACCTGTGGTAAAACAATTACACTCTGTCCTGGGCTTGCACCTCCCAAGTGCTGGCTTCTACGACAGCGTTCAGAAGACTTGATCTCAGGTCCATATATGTCCCTTTCACCCCGACCTCAGCACTTTTGTTGGAAGAAATGATAGTTTTCTAGGATAATGGCTGAGTCAAGGCATGCTTCTAATTAAGAGACCAAATTTCAAACTTTTGAATGTTGGAATTTACAAAAATTATGTTAGAATTTATGAAAAATTTTCTGCTTGTATATATGCATTCCCTAAAGATAAATGCATCTTGGCAAATAGAAAATGAGAGCAAGCTGGGTTTTCCAGATATAAAAAATAATTTTAAAAACTTAAAAAAACCCTGGAAAACTGAAAAGTCACATGCATGTGCTGTTTACTGAAATCGTATGGACATGGGTAAGCCTTCTGTTTTTTGTATTTTTAATACTTAGTATTATAGTTGAACGCAAACTTTTATTTGGTAGTTTTTTCGCCTCAAAAGTAGTAAGAAACAATTTAATATTTTGGCTTTCCTCTTTCCACCTCTTTTGTCTTGGATTCCCTCCAGCAGCCTGAGTGACAGTGCTGTTTCCCAGTTGCTGTTTTTAAAGAAAGTGCCTTCTTTCCATCTGGCAGCACACAGACCCTGCAAGCAGAAGCATTGGGGGTGGAAGCAGGGATTGTCTCCTCCAAAAAAGGCTGATCAGATGATTTAAGTCGTGCTGAGCATGTTTAGTCGGTCATCTGTAAATATATTTGCATGTCTAGTTCCAAGAAAGCCAATTTTGAAACTGAGAATTAGCCGCAAAATTGGCCAGAAAGTAAGGAGGATGGAAAGCAACCAGGAATGAGCAGTGGTGTTACTGGCATTGCGCCTGGGATTTTGGGAGGGACAAGAATTAGGGAATATGCCTAGGTGGAGGAAGGGCCCCAGTAGGAAGGTGGGATGTCACACTGTCACTCCCATCTGTGGTAGAGGATTCCAGAGGAAGGAAGTAGCTACACTCCTGGGAACTTCCTTTGTTTTATTGTTTTCCCCTAAAGCCTCTTCCTTTTAGGACTTCCCCGTTAATTAGATTTTACTGCATTTTCTGATGGTGTGTATATGTGTGTGTGTGTGTGTGTGTGTGTGTGTGTATATATATATATATTTTTTTTTTTGTCTGAGTGTTTAAGAAGTTTGCACATACACTAAAGTGATTCATGTCAAGTTGTTAACATTTGCTTAGCAGAATTCATATTTTCATTCTCCTGACTCTAATTTACTTGCAATTAAAGTAAAAGTATTGAGCCAGTTTTTTAAAGGACATTTTTGATAAATTATATTTGTACTGGTTAATAAAGAACGGTTTTTTACAAACTTGTGTGTATAATTCTGCGGCAGATACCAAATATTTTTATATAGTAAAAATACCAATTATGTACAGCATATATCATTGATCAATGGACTATCCTTGTTTTCTAATAAAATTATGAAAACCGGGTGTTGAGTATTCTCATGAAAATCTGTTTCCTTGCCCACCCTCTCCTGGGCTTACCTGCACATGCCCAGGTCTCATGGAGAGGTGAGGAGTATTAGCCAAACGTTGAGCCCTAACTTCCATTTGTAGCCTCAACCATACTCTGTTTACTTGCTTTTAAATGGATGATAATACACATTTTATTATTATTAACCCTTTACTAGACCAGCAAATAATGTCAATATTTGTATAGACTTTTACATTTCACAAAAGGGTTGACTCATGAGATAAACATAGTTGGCAGACTGTGTCAAAAATGCAAGCTCTAATGTGTACAAATCCTAGTAATCAGCAAGCCTTTTATACCCACCTGGTCAGTGCCTTTTAATTCTGCCTCATGGCAGTTCTAACAAGCAGACAATGCTGTTGGCACCTACTAAGGTAGCAGGTCAACTTAGAATTGGGGCAGGGGTCGACTATAAATCCTGCCTCCACCATCTACTTGGTATGAAAACTTGGACAAACTATTTGAGCCCGTTTCATCACCTAAAAAATGGATATAATACCTAATTCATAGCATTGTGTAAGGATTAAAAAGGTGAAATACATTATGGCAAACACAGTGCATGTATACAGCAGGTCCTCAGAAAATGGTAGGATTGTTGGTAGCAATTCTATGAATAAACTTTGTTACCTCAAGTCATAGTAGAATCTGCAAAAGGAATGGATAGAGAGTAGATAAAACTAGAAGTGGCTATTGATACCAGAGAGGAAGAAAAGGAATCCTAAAAATAAGGACAAGTACAAGATAACCAGGTGAAGTTGTGTGATGAAGAATCTTGGAGTTCTTGTCTCCCCTCAGCCCCAGGAGTTCTTGTTTCGCTGACCACTGGTGGCCAACAATTAAACATTCACAGTGGTCCTCTGCCAGCCCCCAATTTTAAAGGATATTTAATGACATAAATAAATTTGTTTAACACATTCCTGAGGGACTTTTCAATAGAAATAAAAATGTAAGCACTTATAAAAATATTAGAATCAACTCTTCAGAAAGCTAGCCTGTACAGAATTTCTCACTGGGAAAGTACAGAAAGCTTTCACCAGACAGTATTTTGGTTATTTTACCACCTAGTAATTTTTTTAAGGTTTTATTTATTTTATTTTTAGAAAGAGGGGAAGGGAGGGAGAAAGAGAGGGGAAAAAGCATGTGGGAGAGAAACACTGATCAGTTGCCTCTCATACATGCCCCGACTGGGAACCAAACTTACCTAGGCATGTGCCCTGACCAACCAACTAAGCCACACTGTTCAGGGCCAGCTAATGTATTTTTTAACCATCAGAAAAATCAATACTAACAGCCATCTAAATGCCTTATTTTTGTCATGAGAATTTTTATTCCTCTTTTTACCAGATAACTTCCTCAGAACAGCTTTTATTTTATTTTGTTTTGTCTTTGGAATAATTTCACCAGTTGGTGCCAACTGGTGGAAAGAGAGCTGAGTATACATTCCTGCACTGTCACAGCTTTGAAACTAGAGCAAAGCACTTGTATATTTTGAATCTCAGTTTTATCTGTAAAATAAGGCTTCCAATGTTTCAAGGTTTTATATGTGAAAAAGGCCCTCTATAATAACTAAGATAGAATTTCAAAACAAAATATATTTGTAATTGATTTTTAGTGGCAGAGAGCGAGAGAGAGACATCACTTTGTTGTTCCACTTATTGACACATTCATTGGTTGATTCTTGTATGTACCCTGACTGGAGAGCGACCCAGCAACCTTGGTGTATTGAGACAGTGCTCTACCCAACTGAGCTATCTGGCAGGACCAAAATATATTTTCTTAATTTTACTTCTTGGTCAGTTCACATAAAACACAAAAATATATTTATCCAAAATGTATCTTTTTTCAAATTCAAGGGCTTTGGCGGGAGAGCAGGGCATATAATCTTGGTGTTAATTTTTTAAAATGATGAGTACTCTTAATACAATTTTAACAAGTCAAATCTGTTTTGGTATTTTTGACATAGTGGGTTTTCCAAATATTAATTGAAGGACTTTAAAGTATAAGCATTCTACAATTATAAATCAGAGATTTTCTTAAGCTAATATGTCAGGAGAAAATCTTTTCACTTTTAAGGCAAGAATCTGTGAGTCTGGTGAATTTGGCATCTGTGGAGGCCACAGAGTGGGTGGTAGGTGGGGAAGAGAGTGATCAGGGGTTGGAAGGGGGAAAGTTGTTTCTTTTTTTACTAAAAATGCACAAATGAATCATGACAATAGCAAATATCCAAAATATATGAAAAATAGATTACACTTGAAAAAACTGTACATGGGAGACAGGTGGAAAGGAACTTTTTTGGTGTAATAACATTTTACAACCAAAATATGAAGGGGGTGTGTGTGTGTGTGTGAGAGAGAGAGAGAGAGAGAGAGAGAGCGATTTAGGGAGAACAAGAGTTACAGGAAATAGATGACACTCTTTAAAATGAATATTAATCTTTCAAAACAAAAACACTCCCATCCTAACACACATTGCTCAGGCTTCTTTTAAGGAAGGCTTGGCTAATTAGAATACATAAATCCTGTACATTGAATATCTACCTATGAGCCCAAACATTAATACAGCAGATACTAAAATTTGCAGCAGTTGGACCAGTTGAACCTGTACCATGTGATTCTAGACTCACAGGGTCCTGTTGACTTAATTTGCACTGCACTCAACCAGTTCAGAGATTAATTATTCAAGAAGGAAAGTCAATCAAGCTTGCTTTTCTTAGAACATTTGACCTAAAAGTGATCACAAGTATCACTTGTTCATGCTTCTGAGTCTGGGACAGATTACATGGATACCATTCCACAGTATTTATTAGTCTCACATAAAACTTATCCTGAGATGAAATTCCTCTGACTTCTTTAGTTGGAGAGTATTGCATGTTTAAGTGCCCTTGTGGGAACCCACTTCCCCTTCTGCCCAAGTGAAATTCAATCTGGCCACTCTCATCAGCCATCTTACATTACTTATCATGCTTATTCTGAGACAGAGTTTAGCTTTTTGTTCACCCTGTGTCTGTGGACAGTTTTTTTGTCATGTGATACTGCATAATTCTGCCTTCTGTACTATGTTTGATTGCTTCTGAACTCTTTCTGGACCCCAAGTTTGCCTTCAAATTCTAAAATGTAGGGGAAATGATTTTGTTCTCGTTTATTTTTGAGTTGTTTAAAAAGTGCTAACCAGGTGCCTAACATTACACTAGACACTGAGACAATGACAAAATACGAAAACACTTTAACTATAGAGAGTAATGTGAAGAGAAAGTCGTTCAGGAAACAAACTCATCTGTCATAGAATCTTAAAATCCCTGACTGAAATATGTAGACTTTGTCATTTGGACTTGGTATTTGGGAGTTACTGGAGGTTCTTTGATGGGAGAACTTTGGGAATAAAGAAAGCTGACTGAAGGGGCACTATTTTGCAGGGGAATTAGGAAGGAGTAAAAGGTTAAAGAGGGAGACCATTAGGAAGCTGGTATAGTAATCCCTCTGTGAGTTGATTGTATTAGGAACATTGTTCTTCAGTAACGAAAAGAAAACTATGTATTATGAAAGCACTATTAGTTGGAGAGAATGCAGAGATTTGTGAAAACTCTAAGGAAGGAAAGTGTCGCTCAACTTCACAAACTAAAGATAATTATTAACACTTCATTGTCTTATAAATATAACAGATCATATAATATTTGGAGGTTAGTACCCTAACTTTTTTTACTTAGTAAAAATATTTTCCCACATTACTACTATTGAAATATGATCTCTGAGTGATCACTAAGTCTATAAAAATGGATAGTCCATAATATAGGCTGCCTGCTTAGGTTGGACATAGTTCCAGTTTTTAGCTATCAGTGGTCAAAATGAAATAATCATCCTTGTCCCAATATCTTTGTCCAATTCCCTGATGATTTGCTTCATATACATTTCTAGAATCAGTGGGAAGGAGGGCAATAGATCTTTTTGGGTTCTTGACTGATTGTGTTCTGTAACACTCATTTTTAATCTTTGCCAATTTGTTAAACAAAAATGTACCCTTAATGATAGATTTTTTTGTAAGTTAAATAATGTGGTTGAAAGTTTGAATTAATATTGACTTTTCCTAGGGTAACTCTTTGCGCCTAAATTTATTACAACCTTAAGTTAGTTACCACGAGGCCTGAGAACAGAGCAGAGATTTCCTGATTCCAAGATAAATGATCTTTTTGACCAAGAACTGTTACCAGATGACATTGACTAGGGATAAATATAAGATTTGCAATAAGGAAAGTCTAAGCACAGTTGGAGAAAGTATGGCATGGCAGCAACAAAAGTGAAAAATTTTCATAGGATATTAGTGTGCAATAATCCTAGAAGAGATGAATGAGCAATGTGGGCACAAAAACAAACCAAAACAAACACACACAAACCCAACCAGACCATTGGTTATATTAATACAAATCTAACATTCAGAATTGAGAGATGAAGGTTTCATGAAGGTTGCAAGGGTCCTCTTCCTTTTTTTTCTTGATGAGCCTGCTTAAAGGCTTACTGATTTTGTTTATCTTTTCAAAGAATCAGCTCTTGGATTTGTTGATCCTTTGAATTGGTTTTTAGTCTCTATGTCATCCAAATCTGCTCTGATCTTG